ATTCACTATAAAATCTAGAAAATACAGTTGCAGATTTCAAGGCAGATAAAAGTTGTTGTTGTTGTTGTTGTTTTATTGTCACGTATTGTACACTCAAATCTAATACAATGCAATGCTGGAAGTCATCAGAATTACATGTACAGTTGAAGTAAGAATTATTAGCCCCTCTTTTTTTCCCCCCAATTTTCATTTAATGAAGAGACACTTCTATACAGCTTAAAGTGACATTTAAAGGCTTAACTAGGTTAACTAGGTTAACCAGGCAGGTTAGGATAATTAGCCAAGTTATTGTATAATGATACAGTTTGTTCTGTAGACTATCAAAAAATATATAGGTATAAGGGGCTAGTAATTGTGACCTTAAATGGTGTGTAAAAAATTAAAAACTGCTTTTATTCTAGCTCAAATAAAACAAATAAGACTTTCTCCAGAAGAAAAAAATATTATCAGACATACTGTAAAAATTTTCCTTGCTCTGTTAAAAATCATTTGGGAAATATTTGAAAAAAGAGGACAAAAATTCAAAGGGGGGTAATAATTCTGACTTCAACTGTATATGTATATAGACAATAATACAAAATTGCATCTAGACAGGACCCCTTAGTTTCAAGTAATGAGTAGATACTAGTCCATATCTACAGTATGTATGTATTATACAATATGATCACTGTTGGTAAAAGTGACTTCCTGTATTCTTAACTTATTTGTCGCTTTGTTTAGGTCCTTGTATTATACTGAAATGCCAATTAAACGTACATTTTACTCCGTATTTATTCTCCCTCTTTGTCTTTCCTCAAGAACAAAATCTCGATCACCACGGAAGTCGAAGCGCTCCCGTTCGCCATCCCCGCAGCACAAATCCTGGAGGTCTTCATCCCGATCGCCACATCGCTCACACAAAAAGAGCAAGAAGAGCAAACACTGAACCCTTGAGCCTGTTAACGCTACAACGTCTCAAACAGCCTGCGGATGGATTGTTCTCTTCATGCACAACCACACGTTTCCAGTCCGCCAAGCTTAGTGATTATGGACTGGCAGATTTCCAACTGTTTCCAGAAGGCGGTTCTTCTGTCTGTGTGGCGGCTGCAACCCGGAGTTTGGCGGAGGTTATTTTCTAAGATGAAGTGTGAACTTGTACAGATCTTATTTTCGTTTTGTAAACTCTTTTATTTGCGTTTTTCCCCCTTCGTTTTAAATCCAGTGTTTAAAAAGAAATGCTGCAAGATTGACTCCACCGTCTTCAACTTTACAATAAAAGCAATTGTGGAAGGACGGATGTGTTGGTGTGAATGATATGAAACAAATACAAGGTTTTCAAAAAGCAAACTCTAAATTCCTGTTTACATTTAGTGACAATGTTACAGTACAGGGTGTATACAGAAATCAGAGAGTCAAATTTAGTAACTTTCAAGACCTTTTTTATGACCAGGGTGTCCACGGGGTCTTAAAAAGTATTAAAAGTTGATAAATCAGTGTAGAGAAATTTAAGGCCCTTAAAAAGTCTAAAAAGCTATTTTGCAAAGTATTACATTTTATATCATATTTGAATATGCAATGTGTAGTTGTATGCTAAAGTTTGCCTGAAATGAATCTGGAATATCAGGATGCTGTGTGGTTTATGAAAAATCAATAAAATCCTGCTATATCTGACATCATGCTGCTTTGTTTACTGCAGTAACCAAGGCAACACAGCTCTATAGGCGCCACCTGCTGAATTAGCTAGATTTGATAGATTTTTATTCAGTATATGAATCATGTTTTAGCTTTAGATTAGTTTCTCACAGTAATATTTAGTAAATATAGTGTAGGGTAAAATCTCACCAAGTGTTTCCTGTTCTTAAGATGTATGGAAAGAGTCTTAAACTATTGCATTTCACTCTGATTCATGTATATACTCTGAAAACTCTTTCCATACATGTTAAGATCTCATTTGACTGAAGGTTTCAGCCGGTAACATTGGCGACATTTTAACAAACAGTATATTTACTTAATACTGATTGCAAGAAACTAAAACAGTATTCATATACTGAATACAAATGCTCATTGGCGCCTATACAACTCCAGGATTTGATCGATTTCATGAACTACACAGCACCTCAATATTCAGATGAAATTCAGGCAAACTTTAGTGTACAACTATACACTGTAGAATCAAGAATTTTACAACATTTATTCCTCAAAAAGTATTAAAGTTTGCTAAATCAATTTAAAGACCCTGTAGACACCCTGGAGTAATATTATACATTTAAGTGAAGTTTCACAAACTAATGTCGAGAGGAGCATGTGATATGATTGACCACAGCTGGTCTCTCATCTACAATCATTAGTTAGCCAATCAGATTAATCCAAACTAACTATAATTAGCCCAGCAAAAAAAAAAAAAATCACTCCCTTAGTTTTCCGAAGAAACCCCCCATCCCCCTTCTTTCTTTACCACAGGGATCTCTTGAGAACCACCTGATCTCGTACTCCCCTTACATGCTCTATCAACCAGGCGGGAGCCCTGGGCTCCATTATCTCTGAGCTCAGGGTTCTCCCCCGGGACAGCATGCCAAACCTGCTAATAGCAACAATGGCAAATCAGCGCTGTTTTAAGAAAGCCATCAACAAAATGTTAGCGGGAAATTGACGGTTGTTATTTTAATTCAGTATTGTGAAAAATCTAATATAGTGAAATATAGTGAAGTTTTTTTTTTTTTAAGGGGGAGGAGCTACTCTATGTCCCACCATCTCTTTGTGTTTCAGTTAAGATCACATAAAACATTGAATAAAATTGTCTTCGCATTGAATAAAATTGTGGATCTTAAAATGTCTTAAACCCCAAAAACAAAATTTTAGGCTTTAAACATTCTTAAATTTACTAAAATATAGTGTTGTAGGTCTTAAATAATTTTACCCTGGTCATAAATTTCCTCTGTCCAAGTAAAAGCTACCCAATCAGGCCGACATTCATCCAAATCTCCAACAATCCATCTTAATAAAATAAGAGAAAGAAAACAAAAAACTACACAATTTCTCTTGATAATAACAGAGCAATATATCTCTTTATGTTATCTTCCATTCATACAAAAACTATTTACAGAAGTAAGGGGGAGTAGACAAAATATTTATAAATAGACATGAAACTTAAGGTTTTAACAAATGCATGAGGTTGAATACTCAAGTTATACTCAATCAGTTTGGATGAGAAGGGTAAAAATGGAGGTCGGAGCCAGCTCCAAGTGCGCTGTGCAAACCTGGATTTATTTATTTTATTAAGTCGTATTTAGAGTTCAATATTGTGCTTTATGAAGGTCTAACCCTAAACCCAACCTCACAGTAACCTGATGTGTTTTATTAACGTCTACTTACCTAGTGGTCGCCCACTGAAGCTAAGCAGGGCTGCGCCCGGTCAGTACCTGGATGGGAGACCACATGGGAAAGCTAGGTTGCTGCCGGAAGTGGTGTTAGTGAGGCCAGCAGGGGGCGCCCAACCTACGGTCTGTGTGGGTCCTAATGCCCCAGTATAGTGACGGGGACGCTATACTGCTCAGTGAGCGCTGTCTTTCGGATGAGATGTTAAACCGAGGTCCCGACTCTCTGTGGTCGTTAAAAATCCCAGGATGTCCTTCGAAAAGAGTAGGGGTTTAACCCCAGCATCCAGGCCAAATCTGCCCACTGGCCTTTGTCCATCATGGCCTCCTAACCATCCCCATATTCCAATTGGCTTCATCGCTGTCTCCTCTCCACCAATCAGCTGGTGTGTGGTGTGCGGTCTGGCGCAAAAATGGCTGCCGTCGCGTCATCCAGGTGGATGCTGCACACTGGTGGTGGATGAGGAGATTCCCCCCATTGTGTGTAAAGCGCTTTGAGTGCCCAGAAAAGCGCTATATAAATGTAAGGAATTATTATTATTATTACTTCACCTACACCACTTAAACCCAACTTACTTGTGGTTTAAGTCCCATCCACTTTGAGGTCCTTGGGCTGCAGCGATACTTACTTGATTTGGACTAAAAGCCCAAAAATATATATATTTTGGATTATTTATGTAATTGCCTCCACAATAAATATACTTTTTTAACAATGTTAAACTTGTCATTTAAAAAAAAAAAACTGTTTTGACATTAAAGAAATAATTACATTAGTTTTTTTTGTGGTGAGCAAAAAAAAAAAATCCATTGGCCAAATCGGGCCATTACAAAAAATTATTTGTGTTTAGCCCTGTATAAGTCTACAATGTCATTCATCATAATGGTCTTAAAAAGTTTTGAAATTTGACTTGATGAAACCTGCAGAAACCCTGAATATTATCTAGATAACACATTCTCCAACTTCGCTTAAATGAATTTAAATAAAAACCACATAAGAAAAATCTGCATTTTTTTCGTTGTATTTATTTCTGGAATCATACACATAAAAAAATCAGGTTCAATTATTTTTACAACATTAAAATAACACTGACAAAATTGAAACGAGTGAGTTAGTGCTCGTGTTGGAAATGTATGATACTGGGCTTTCCAGAAACGTTGACTCTGAGGGTTAAAATGTGCAGGTGAAATTAAAGTGTGTGTGTTTGAAGGGCTGATCACCTGCGTCTCATCCTGTCTCCATACAGGCTTGCAGTTTCACTCATCCATTAAAATGGCATCATCGATCTGTGCAATGTAGAGCCCTTTTTTTGTGCACGTACAGTAACGATACAACACCACCTCTTCAAAGAAATCAAATTAAAAGCATAAGAAGGTAAAGAAAGAAGCATTAACCGTGTTTTTTCCATCTGTCCCTGATCCTCAACTGTCCCCGCTTTACAACTTCCTGGGTCCCTGTTCTCTGTAAAAGAGGCGGGACTTATCAGCTCCGCCCCCAGAGTACTCTCCAGCAGCCGATTGGTCGATAAATGGGGGCTCTGTTACATATAAAGTGGCACTGATTTTGTTTTAGCTCTATCCAAAATAGCTGGAAGGAGCTATACATCGTTTCTGTTTACTGAAACACTCACTGGGTGTCACACTCAGCACTCAATATTTCTTAACATTGACAAAAACTTTAATGGCTCCGGTGAAATCAGCAGAGAGCAGAACTTCAGAGTGGTCTGTTTTCAGCGCCCCTGAGGAAACATAAGGAAAGGGTTATTTCTGTGCACTTCTGCCACACTTGATGATCACGTTCACATTGGTTAAAGTCAGTACCTGATGGGATGGTCTCCGAGTCGTCTGTGCTGTCGCTCTTACAGTCCGAGTCGGGTTTTTCGGAGCCTGCTTCCTGAGGCACGATGAGATCCGGATGAGGAGCAAAAATGGCCGATGTCACAACCGCGTTATGAGCTACAAAGCAGGAGAGAGATAGAATTTAAGCTCCAAACTTTACAGACATTAACGATCAATTGAAATTCATAGATAAGGGGGAACTGATTATTTTGCTGGAATGGTTCCTATGGCTCGCTTTTATCAAGCATTTAGCTATTGTCAATATTAAAAATAATAATAACAGTCAGCGCCAATAGCCTAGTGGTTAAGTGCACCAACATATAGCACCATGGTGCTCACGAAGACCCAAGTTTGATTCCCGGCTCGAGGTCCTTTGTTGATTTTCCCTTCTCTCTGTTACCAGCTGTTTCCTGTTAGTTCTCTGCACTATTCTATCCACTAAAGTTTCAAACCCCCAAAAATTAATAATAAAAAATAAATGATAATAATGACAATAAGACATTCCAATATTTCACAGTAAAATAAAATGTAAAGTTTTCTTAAATTGTTGTAAATTGCTTTTCAAACTTCAAGCCTTTGCTTTTGTCAGAAAACATTAGTTGTACATTCATTATTGAGGGGTGTTGTAGCATTGATTGAGTGCACTTCAAAACATCCACAACAACAAATGGCTGGTCCCTCTAATAGTGCACTACTTAAGAGAATGGAGGGCATTTGTTCATCTGCCGTCCACACTGCTTCCAAAATCACCAACACTGGTGTTCTGAATAATTATAGACTAGCAAATTATGGAAACAGAGAGGTTTCGGAGGCTTTTGGCTTGCGGAGACTGATCGTCTGGACCGTTACAAAACATGCACACGCCCTGTGAGAGAGAATGGTCAAGTATCTTGCGTTTTAGCCTGTATAGGTCTAAAATGCAATAAAAACTGGGAATGCACAATATATTGCAAAATTATCATTATCACAATAATAATACAGCGATTGGACAAAGAAACCGAAACACTGGTCAATGTCCTGGTGCTAGTATCTAACATAAAACACGCTGCCCTACTTACTGAAGAATTAAAAGTGCACCTTAACTCTCCTGTTTCCACCAAAACGTTTCATCGAGAGCTCCACAGGGTCAATATACATGGCCAGGCTGCTATAGCCACACTTTTGGTCACTCATGCCAATGCCAAACAACCGTTTCAAGAGTCCCAGCAGCAAAAATATTGGACTGTGGACAATGTGAAACATGTATTGTTTTCTGATGAGTCCACCTTCACTTTCCCACACCTGAGAGAGTTATGGTGTGGAGAAGCCCCAAAGAAGCGTATCACCCAGACTTTTGCATGTCCAAAACGAAGCATGGGGGGTGGATCAATGATGGTTTGGGCTGCAATATCATGGCATTCCCTCAGTCCAATACTTGCACGAGATGGGCGCATCACTGCAAATGACTACCGAACCATTCCGGAGGACTATGTGCATCCAGTGGTTCAATCCATAGTATTCTGACAGCGGTGCTGTGTATCAGGATGACAGTGCAGAAATACACACAGCAAGACTGGTGTAAGGGCGGTCTGATGAACATGAAAGTGAAGTTGAACATCTCCCATGGCCTGCACAGTCACCAGATCTAAATATTATTGAGCCACTTTGGAGTGTTTTGGATGACAAGTGAGAAAATGGTTTCCTCCACCAGCATCACATAGTGACCAGGGTACTATTCTGCAAGAAGAATGGCTCAAACCCCCTCAGATCAATGTGCAGGATTTGTATCTGTCAGTCCCAAGATGAATTGGCATTAATGGCCGCAAAAAGAGACCCTACACCACAGGTGTCAAACTCAGTTCCAAAAGGGCCGCAGCTCTGCACAGTTTAGTTCCAACCCTAATTAAACACACCTGATCAAACTAATTGAGTCCTTCAGGCTTGTTTGAAACCTACAGGTAAGTGTGTTGGAGCAGGGTTGGAACTAAACTGTGCAGGGCTTCGGCCCTCCAGGAATTGAGTTTGACACCCCTGCCCTACACCATACTAATGAAATATAGTGGTTTAAACTAAGCATTTCAGTTTTATTGTCCAACCCCTGTACATATGTAAAGCTTTTGTGTGATTAAATGACATTTATTTTATGCTTCGGTTGGTTGTTTATCTAAACTTGACCGATCAGATGAGGCCTTACAATCTGTAATCCCCCCTCCCCAGTGGTTGCTGTTCTGCTATTGGCTGGAGCGGCCCAAAGGTGAACCCAGAAATAAAAATAAATACTGATGGCAGCATTGGATGGAGTCACAAGTTCTGTTGAGGTTTTCACTCTGTCAGAGAGTTTTAAAGAGTAACCTGTAATGAAAAACATCACTTATTTTTCCAGTATCGTGCAGCCAACTTCAGTGCAGAACTTCAAAGGCGAAGCAGAGATGGGTTTACAGCACCAAAAACGCATGATCTGCTCACGTATAAAAGATGAGCTTTACTCCGAAACACTCAACACACTTGACGCCTCTGCGATTTCAGCATAGACTTCACTGACGCACTGCTAAAACAAAGAATTCCTGTAATAACTCTCACTCCGTGACTCATTTCCGTTCCATCACCTTACCTTTGATCCCTTCCCAGAAGTCATTGCGGTCTCTCCGTACAGAGGTGAACTTGCTGAGGTCGTGGTACGTGCTCCAGATGTACACATACTTGTCCTCTGAGCCGCTCACAATGTAAGAGTAGTCGTGACTGCAGGAACAAGGAGACATCCTTCAGATTCACTCACATTTCGTGAAAGGCCTGGGTAGAAGCGCGAGATCACAGCCGGATGTTTCTGGGGCTGTGTGTGTTTCTCACCTGAAGCTGGCTTTGATCTGACTGCTGCTGTTCACGTAGCCTTTGTACTTCATAGACAGTGACAAATCTCTGAGGTCATACAGGCGAATGCGGGAGTCGTTTGACGTCACCAAGATCTGCAGAGGAAAAGGAGATCAGCACGAGCGTAAACTCAATGATGGACGTCAACCTTGGAATAAACAACAATGTCCTGATTCGTGCTTTACTGCAGTAAACTTCTGTTTCCCCTCAAATGAACACAGCTCACCTTGTTTTCTCCTGGCAGTGGCTCAATGCCGGTGATTTTGCGGCCTACTCGATTCCTGCCTCTTGTGGAGCGAACGTGGATTTGGGTGTGATATTTAAGGCGCTGAGCGTAACACATAAGCAATTGGTTAGTTCAATAAATAATGTGATTTTAGAAATCATCCTGCATGTTGAAGTAGGGAACAAAGAATAAAATCAAGCAAACACTCACCTCGGTGTCATAGAAAATGCAGCGCCCATCATAGGTGCCAATTACTGCATACTTTCCATTCTGGCAGAAGTTAGCTGCTGTTATCAGACGCGTCTGTCCATCCACCTCATTCCACAGCGCCACTTTCTTATCAGGAATATTCCATAACCGCAGCTTTCCATCTAAAGAACCGCTCAAAAAATACCTGTCATCCTGGGAAAACAAAAAAGAACAGGCAAAACAAAATAAAACGTTATCATGGTATACCTATACTATTTGTTTTTGTTACTTTTTTAAAATACTTTTGAAATTAATATGTTCTCATTTTAATTATTGTTATTCATTTTGTATAAAATTTACGTCAATAGCTATATAAAATAAAATAAAAAATAAAAAACTGGTGACAGAGTGGGTTTATGAACATGAAAGTGAAGTTGAACATCTCCCATGGCCTGCACAGTCACCAGAACTTAATATTATTGAGCCACTATGTAGTGTTTTGGAATAATGAGTGAGGAAATGTTTTACTATACCAGCATCACATAGAAACCGGGCCTCTATTTTTGAAGAATTATTGTGCCATGGAGTTATGATTTCGTTGTTTATCTTTATAAATCCCTTACCCAAAGAGCACATACACATTGATTATCCCTGAAGCCCTTTTGGTTTGATTTTGTACTCATATATTCAGCTTTCAGACAATGTATTAAACTCAAATTCCCAAAATTGGTCCAGGATCCATGTTATAAATATGAGAAAAAAATAAAACCTAAACAGGGATAAATTTTGCTTTCATAATCTGAATTATAGAGGCGCTCTAACTCTTTAACTCTATTTGACTTCATTACACAGCAAATGTGTTATGCTTTTTTTTGTTTTTCTGTGACAAACCCAATGTCAGCTTGGATATTTTTCAGCCAGTAAAAAGACAGTTTTTTTTTTCAGCAAGGATTTTAATGTAAACAGATTTTTAAACTGCTATTGTAACGTTTCTTGATGCATTCATTTTACAGTATTTTTGATCAAATATGCATAAGAAATCTTTTAAAAAATCTTCAACAAGTAATTAACAGTAGTTTACGCTAGCCTGCACACTCACCCTAGGATGAAATGCAATCGCTGTAACAAAATCTATATGCTGAAAACAGCACAGACACTCTCTCCTGGAGATGTGCCACAAGCGAACCGTCTTGTCCATTGATGATGACAGCAAGAAGTAGTTCTGCACAGAAGAGAAGCAACAGTATTTGCAATAGTCACCATTTAAAACATGCTTCCCTGCTCAAAATCTGTATTACTAGTTTCATACAGAGAGAAGCACTGATGACAATAGCTCTCACCTTTGACCAGGACAGATCTAGCAGGTCAGCGGTGTGACCTTTGTACTTGCAGAAAGGAACCTGCCGGAATGGGACGTTTCTGTCCTCCGTGTCTGCATCTTCCACAGCAGCACCAAACTGATCAGGCATAAACAAGAGACATTTTAAAGTATTATTCATTGACTACAAACCAAAAAGAAAAGTGCAAACAAAACCCCTTACCCCTCCTTCTGTATCTGATTTAGAGGAACACAGACTCTCCTGAGAGGGAGACGGTGACACACGTCCTGAGGGAGAAAACAAAGAGACTCTTAAAACAAGGAATCTCAGTGTAATAACTAGCATAAGAATGTGGTTATAGCAAAAATCAGTGTGCTAGCTTTGAGAATGAAGCTGTTAGCTTCCAATTCACATTTAAAATAACATTATTATCCATAAACCAGTGATTTATCTTGGGTAAGGTTCACACGTACACAATACAAATAAACACACACAACAACCAAGACTACACATAATCCTACAACAAACCTTTAAAATTAAATAAAATTAAAATATCTGATCTAGAATACAAGACTCTGCAATACTAATTAGCTTAGCAACATGCTAACACCAAACGATGGAAATCAGTAACAATTGCACCCAAGGCAGAGCTCTGTTCGTTCGGACATTTGCTGCCTATGTAGAGCACTCTAAAGAGTATCATATGAGGCTTAAAAGGTTCTCAATCTTTTTTATATTTTCAGTATTAGGCAAGGTTATTTCTAGCACAGTACTTCTGTTGTAATGATTAAGCTGCTTGAAAAAATGGTTAAAACAGTACTAAATAAAACAATTAAATAACAATTGATATTTATTTATATAATTATATTTCTATTTAATAGTAATTTTAGATTATAATTTATTATCTTAAAAACATGAATTATTATTAATATTATTACTACTACTACTACCAACACTACAACTACTATTATCATTACTACTATTACCATTACCACTATCACTATGCCAGCAGTTAGCTCTTTGCAACTCTCATATGGTCGCCCACTAAAGCTAAGCAGGGCTACACCTGGTCAGTACCTGGATGGTAGACCACATGGGAAAGCTAGGTTGCTGCCGGAAGTGGTGTTTGTGAGTCTGAGTGGGTCCTAATGCCCCAGTATATTGATGGGGACTCTATACTGCTCAGCCCTGACTCTCTGTTAAAAATTCAAAAAGAGTAGGGGTTAAACCCCGGCATCCTGGCCAAATTTGCCTGACCCTATCATAATTGGGTTCACCACTTTATCTCCTCTCCACCAATTAGCTGGTGTGCAGTCTGGTGCAATATGGCTGCCGTTGCGTCATCCAACTGAGATTTCCTTCAGAAATGTGTATGCGCTTTGGGTGTACAGAAAAGTGCCACATAAATGTTTTTATGTAGATGTATAATTACCATTACTACTATTACTACCACTACCATCATTACTACTACTACTGTTGTTACTGTATTATTATTAACTTAAAAAAAATCAATAAGGTTTATTAGGAAAATTTGTATTTCATGTTTTTCAGACTTGTTCATCTTTTTTGTCCTCAGCAGAATGACATCTTAAATGTCAGTCTTTTCTCTATATAAACTATTTTCTCTGAAAGTATCTAAACACTGAATATGAATGTGAATGGGAAAGGTACAGCATGACTTGAAAACTATAAAAATCTTAAAACAGCAGTTCTCATATGCATAACATGGGTCTAAGCGTGTGGTCACCTTCTGTGTTGTATTTTATTCTCATGTTGTTGAAATAGTCATAGGCATTTTTGAGGACCCAGATCCGAACTATATTATCCTGGCCTGCTGTTGCCAATAGCCGTCCGCAGTGAGAGAACTTCATTGTCCAGACGGCACCCTGACCGAGAGAGAGAGAAAAAGAATCAGTAAATAATTCACTACTACATCACAAATAACTAAACAGGTTAAAGTTCAAATGAAAGGTCACACACGCTCTCCTCACCATGTGCTCTCCGCTCAGGTCCTGCACCACTTTGATTTGGTCAAAGTCAAAGGGCCCTTTGAAGCTGTGAGCCGCTTTAAATTTGACCGGTCGTGTGTACGGCATCCCTTCGTCATCACTGGAGGATGGGTCATCCTGGTCGTTGTGGAAGACCTCGTCTCGAACGCTCTTCACTTTATTCACAGCTCTCTCTCCATATTCCTCTGCCAAGTGTTTCGCCCTCTTTACTGACTTACCCAGAAACTTCTTTAGCTGTGTTCTGAGTGAGAAAAGAAAACATAAAAAAAATCAATTAATCACTAGACACTAAACAGTTGAAGTCAGAATTAATAGCCCTCCTGTTAAATTAGAATTCTTTTACATATTTTTCCCCAAATTTCTGTTTAATGGAGAAGGTTTTTTTCAACACATTTCTAAACAAATTACTTGAAATAACTAGTTTCTACTGATTTGTTTTATCTTTGCCATGATGACAGTACATAATATTTGACTAGATATTTTTTTAGACACTAGAATTCAGCTTAAAATAACAATTAAAAGCTTAACTGCGTTTATTACGTTAACTAGACAAGTTAGGGTAATTAGGCAAGTTATTGTATAACAATGGCTTACACTGTAGCTAATTAAAAATATATTGCATAAGAGGGCTAATAATATTGACCTTAAAATAGTTTTTAAAAATTAAAAAACACTGCTTTTATTCTAGTCGAACTAAAACAAATGACACTTTCTCCAGAAGAAAAGATATTATTATAAATACTGTGAAAATTTACCTCATTAAATATCAAATAATAAATATTTCACATGAAGGCAAATAATTTTGCCCTGGGGGGTGTGTAGCATTTTATTTATTTATTTTAAAGAATACATTTATTTCAGCCTTGATGGATTAAATTGATTAAAGAGACAATAAAGTATACTATTATTAATACTATTACGGAAATTAAAGTCTATGTGAAGTTGCTGCAGACTTTATGTCTGTATGATAACATGTACAACTAAAATATTATACAATATACAAATATTATACAACTGAATATTGGGTAAGGGGCCAGGGTTTTTATTTTTATGTTTTTTTATGTTGTTTCAACTTTCACATGCAGAAAACAATTTGAGGGGCGTGGCTAAGCATACATCTCCCAAGCCGTCAAACTGAAATCATTAGAGATGGACGCAGAATTAAATAATTGGATTTTTTTCTGAGTGGATTAATTTCCATTGATTATAATTGGAAATAATTTACTCCAAAATTAAAATTGTCATCATTTACTCATTCGTTACTTGATTCAAACCTGTCTGACTTTACTTCTTCTGTTTAACACAAAGGAAGATATTTTGAAGAAAGATGAAATCTTGTAACTAGGGGCAGACAGAATCTGCGGACAAGTTTTGCTATTTCTGCTGAGAATTTATTAAATGAGTATCATAACTAAAAACTTAATATATGAAATAAAAAATACATTTTAAACTTTTATTTAATGTTTACAATGCAAATCCAATTAGATCCACTTAATTGGTAAACAAAGCAAGTCTCTAAATATTACTTAACAAACTGCATTGTAAATAAATCATATGATCATTTTAATATTACTATTATTATACCACAAAATATTAGTAAAATTAATAAATAATATAAATTGTAAAATCAATAAAAAATTACACACACTTACACAAGTAAATAAATAAACTCATGATGGGCTAAAAATCTGCGGATTTATGTGTGCGCAGATTCCGTGTGGGTCTACCAGTAACCACTGGTTTCTATAGAATTTGTTTGTCCTACTATGAAAGTGGTTACAGGTTTCCAGCATTCTCCAAAATATGTACAACAGAATAAAGAGTTTTAGATGGTTTGGAACCAGATTAGAGTGAGTACATTTTCACTTTTGGATGAACTATTCCTTTAATTGTTCACCTCAAGGCTATTAATGTGCGCAAGCAAAACAAACATTCTCAATTTTGATGTTAAGTGGACTTTAAATGAAATGCTTCTCTTTGTATTTTTTTATTTATCACAGAATCCTACATTATTTTCCAAATACATTACTACACAACTATTTTAGTCCATTGGATTAAAAAGAAATATTTCTTGAGCAGCAAATTAGCATACTTGAAGACTTCTAGAGGACCATCATGTGTCACTGACAATTAATGATGCTGAAAATTGAAATTTGCATCACAGGAATAAAATAAACGTCTTTTTAAATTGCATTAATATTTCTTATTTTTGATCAATACATGCAGCTTTGGGTGACTATAACGGTCAACAACATAAAAAAAGTATGTTCCTATAGTGATGTATTTTAGCATAACTACAAAGTCGTAAGCTAAAAAAATTAATCTCTTACGTTCTCTGTTTCAGCTTCCCTCCATCTGTGTCAGTAAGGGCAGGCTGGGATTTATCATCATCATCCGACTGTGCTGCGTCGTTTCTGCCAAGAGAAGAGAAAGTGTGAGATCCCACCCTAAAGCGTCTACGGCTGCTGGCTTTCAGACAGGAGTTCTCTTTAAACCCCTTTCAAAATTAGCTTGCATTTAATCCCGATGTAAAACGAGAAAACGAGAAGCAGCGGTCCAGGACCAGATCCAGCAACCCAACTGTTTCAGATTAACCACACCAGCAGAAACTACAAAACTGTTATCAGCTCAGCATTATGAAGAACTTCCTGCCAAAATGTTCCACTTGTGTTCGAGTGGTTTCGAATCAGAGGAGAGCTGGAGAGAAGAAGGGATTACATGCCTTCTTGCTTCAAAAGAGGAAAAAAAACAGTCTGTAGGTTTCATTCGGGATGATAAAACGAGGGCAGATGAGAGTGTGGCGAATCGGATTACTGATAGGATTCGATCCCGCTGCCTGAGGGCCTCGCCGCATCAGCACAAGCAGAGCGATCCTAGCTATCACACTTTAAATGTAAAATCAGCTCTGAGGAGTTCCACAACTCTGAGACAGATTATGTTGTACAGAATGACATCTCAGTCTCACATTTTTTAAGAACACAATTAATGGCTGCAATATTTATATAGTAGGTTTACCTCATTTTTTTGTCAATTACTTTGTACGAAATGTAATTGTGGAGAGGTAAGCATGCTCGAACATGCAATGAGGGGGGAAAGCATGCTCGGAGCCAGGCGGCTAATCAGCAGGCCAATCAGAATTAATAAATAACACCTGTTTATTCTAGTGATTGGGCCGGAGAGACACCCTTCTTAAGGAGAAGAAAGAAAGAGAGAGCGCACACACACGCGCACACACAGTAACATGTTTTTTTTATCATTTGATTTTTTTTTTACATGAACTACAGATTTGCCTACAAATCACAAATGATCTCCTGTAGCTATCATGGGATAGTAAATTGTCCAGTGTATGTGCACCTGACATATGCAAATACTGCAAATATATATTGTGATCATGAACATCAAACGTCTAAGTACAGTGGATAATTATTTATTATTTAAACTTTTAGAGTGCTTTTAAAAATATAAAAAAGTGGTGGGAAAATGTTTGGAGACTTAATAGATTAGCTTAATAGGTCAAGCGTTAACATTTTCATATGTTTGAAATAATTAAAAATTTGGTGACTATTCAAAGGGATATTGTACATTTACACTGTGCATTATGGCACCCTAAAGTAAACTCATGATGAAAACTACGAAAGATTTTATTGAACTTTGGTGATGTTCATTTCTTAGGTAATGCCTAACAACATGTGAAAATAATAGTTGTGATCTTTTTAGTAAATGTAGGTGATAATTAATCAAATTCAGCTGTTTTTTCCATGTAGATTAGCATACACTAGCAACTGCAATACATCTGGCTTTTTCTGACTTTTGAATTTTAATCCATTACTAATTGTTGCTATTCATAATCATTTTGAAAAGGAATTTAGTTGAAACGTTTGTTTAATTTGAACATTTATTTACAATAAATAAATAAAACACAAAGTACAGTTTTGATATTATACATGTTAAAAGTAACTTTTTTGCAGCTTATGTCAGAATCATAATAATACATTATAACATGAATTTTTTGAGTATCAAAAAGAAAATTTGATACTGTCATAAGCCTAATGTGCAATTTAATCTCTTAGTGCGTGTAAAGGCTGATTTATACTTCTGCATCAAGCGCAGAAGTATACTCCGGCGAGGGCTATGCGACTGCGAAGGCTGTGCTGGAGCGCACCTTTCAAAAAATGTAATGTAACTACACATCACAACGATGCGTAGTGCAAGCTCTGTGACTGGCTGGCTTGGTAGCCCTGACAACTGTGGGTGGGACCAAGAGCCTTGCGAAACTCGTTGGAGCAAGTGTTTACAGGTGTGGAGTCTCGTGATGGACCTTCAGGTGGAAAGTTTTGTGTTTATCTTATGAATAAAGTTGTACGTCCACCAGTTCCCACCTCAAAAGGAGCGAGTTTAAAGGGTTCACAAAACACATTTTTTGAGATGTTGACAGTCATATGTGTCCCACGCTGCTGTAAACACTATTAGGATACGTATATTTCACAAAAAAAGAGAAACTTAGTTGTCTTTGCATTATTTCGAGCAAATTTGTTCTTCCGATTTGAAACAAATTTTTGAAGCTGTAAGTACATTGTAACGTCTGACGTGTGTGTGCAGCATTTATTCATGAGAAAGACTTGGTTCAAACCAATTAGTGTACTCTATTGTGAATGAGGTGCTTCATTAATACGCATGATAAAGCTTCGAAAACAGTTTTCACCTGTTACAGTGTTTAGATGGCAGTGAGACGCCACTTTGTGTTGCCAAAACAAGTGGAAGAACAAAAATTGTTTGGAGACACAGGTCATCAGTGTTGCGTTTATAAATGTGCTGCAACAAAGGATTTCCCGCTATGAGAGCGCAGCTGGACTCATGTGTGGACTACAGTGCACACAACAGAAATGCATTTGCAAGGAACATTTTTTACCCAAAAGCTTTTTCGCATCTGGAAATGGTGAAATCCGGATTTGCTGCTCGTCTCTTTTTAAAAAAGACGCGGCTCCAGTTGGTGTTGATTGTACTGTCTCTACAGATTTGGTAAGAGATCGATCAGTGGTCTTTGTTTGTTTATTAAGATGACAAAGTTAGTTTGTATCATCAGCAGTACTTTAAAGACATACCTTAGTCAAAATAATTTAGTTACTAAGTTTACAATACGTTAATATTACTACAATATTATGGACAGAAAGATCGGCTGTAAATGCTGCTTTCTGGATGTAAACATGTAAACACTGCAATCAAACTATTACCATTGTGTAGGATTTGACGCATTTTGTGACAGGATAGTCTATACACACACAGCTTTCTGACACTACGTTACCTACCGAGTGCATCTCAGTTACAGAGTACAGTTACAGAGAAATGTAGAGGGTTTTTTTTCTTCAGATCGACGTGTGGTATCAAACATTCCATTAAAACAACACTCTTCCAGCAGTTCCTTGCATCCAATATCTCGTCTGTCATGGGGGACATGTATGAAATGTTACAGAATGAAAGTTAAAGTGCCTAACTGCAATTAAAGCCGACAAATAAATAATTTAGCTAATAATTTCATTACTGATGTCCATGTAAACACTGTCACTGTCTTTCTCCTCTGTGTCTGTGTGTTTGTTTTGCCTCTGTGAAAATCAGCACATGCCCTAACGGAAACTATATGCAATATGTAAAGTATATATAATATGTAAATCTAGTCGCAATTGCTGATGATGTATTGTGGGAAATGCAGTTTACTTACGAGATGTACTCCTTGGTTCTTCTCATGATGTGCAGTGTGAGCGGGTTGATTCCAGTGGGTAGTTTCTCTTCAGCCTGGATCAGAGGGATCTCCTCACCAGTGTCCAGATTCTTGATCATCACACTCGCAAGAATCTCCTGTACAATAAAAACACACATACTACCTTGAGTAATAACCATTACATTATCAGAGATTAAATGGAGCAAAAAGAGAAGCAGGCCATGTTACATAACTAAACAAAAGCGTCTGTTAAATCAACGGATAAATGTGCAATTGCCGTATGAACATGGTTATAACCATTACATCTACTCTTCAATGAATCAGCAACAACTATGTAATGCAACCATGCAAATAAAGTTTAGTATATGTCCTTCCTCCTTTCAAGGCCACAGAGTGCTACAGCAATATGACAGAAACCAGTTCCATAATCCCTAAGTCATTGTTTTTTTATTTTGTTGTTGGTTAAACAGCGGAAACACACAAGATCAAGATTTTTTTTTTTTAATTCTACAAAAAAAAAAAAAAAAAAAAAAAAAACAACTAAAACCCCATTCTTATGTTTTTTTTTTTGGTTATTGGTGAAAAACAGGTCTTACTGCAAAACGAAACTGTACTGATCCACTTGACAGGCTCATATTTCAGCTCATGCTCACTTTGACTTGAACACATCACACCAGTGTGATCAGTCTAAGCTGATCCCTGGAGCGGACGATTACACCAGTGTGGTCAGAGCATACAGGGCATCACTGATCAGCTAATAAATTCAAATCTGCCCTCACACAATGACTGTTGTTGAACTAGAAAAATATAAAAGTCATGATTTCCAAATAGAACAAGATAGGGGAGTCAGCTGACGCATATAAAACTTATAAATGAAAAGGTTCAATTAACTACAGCTAAACAAGATCAGCTTGCCCTCACATTCAGAAGCACACATTTATGGACTTATTGTCAGCCAAATCCTGTGTAGCGATGTTGCAGGGTGGTAGGTCCACTCTTACTGATTATGCACATGCTTTTTCGGAAAAAACACCCACCCAGGATTTCCACACTTGGTTAGGCAAAAAAAAAAAAAAAAAAGAGTCAGCCTCAAAAAAACTTTGCAAAACTACTTATGATCCAAAAGAAAGATTTTTGGATAAAGATATACTCTGTGTTATGTCTAAAAAACTTTTTTGAAATGTGACCCATGCTAGAGAATAAGAGTTTAAAGACCTGTTCACACAGGGATGCTTTTTGCTTGCGCTTTTCAGTGACGCCTTATAACATGCAAAACGGCTGGCAGAAAATCGTCATTTTTATAGAAATGCCTCATGCTATTTATTTATTTTTTTTTTTTTGCCGTGCCACATCAAAAACCTCTCCACCAATCAGAATGGCATTTTTGTTTATGTGCCCGGAGCTGCTGAAGTAACAGTAAACACCTCTTGGAGGTGCTCAAGCACAAAACAGTGGAGGAGATTCCAGTTTCACTTTTATTCAATGAAAAAAAGGATGCACCGAAGCAAGAAGAATGTGGTGCTACTTTTTTCATTGGTGTCTGAACACATAGAGCTGTAGGATAAATTCAACAATGACTACAATAATGTCAGTCGGAGAGGAGAGTAGTAAATAGATTTGATAAATTTGATGGTGAGTTTCATTTCACTCTTCTTTCATGACTTACAAGTTAACTAGGCACCATCTAATGTCAGGGGGTAATTTTGCACGTTTACTCTGCGCAACGAAGATGAAAATCGCCTGGTTTTGAATGCAGAAAAATGTCTATAAAAACAATGACAATAAATCGGTGTGTACGAGCCTTAAGAGTGAATGTCCACCGAAGTATTTTTTTAAGCAGAGCATTTGTTTTGGGCTGTTGTCAACGATAGTGGCACATTTTTTGTGTTTAGTTATGACCGTAAAACGCCCGCTTAGCACCTCATTGCAAGATGGGAAAAAAAGGCAGCGCCCATCAGTGTCACTTTTGTGCTAGCCGTCTAATCACAGTAGAGAAGGGGTGGGACAATACCACACCTCTCAACATATAAACAGCTAAAGACTTCAATTAGCAATGGTACAACAGGATTCTCTCATATCAACCGATTGAAAAAAAATGCTTTCACAGTTGACTGCGCATTTGGTTAAAAACACAATACGGTGGACACGCAACCTAACTATTTACCAATGCAAATATGAGTTGTGGAAGCTTAATAGTGGTTATGTTAAGGATTAACATATAAATATGTTAAGGTGTCAAGATAACTGTAATAATATGTAAAGATTATATTGCAAACGTGTAAGAATAAAACAGCTTTACTGGTCAACCAGCTTATTTCCTGCAATAATGCATTCATTCTTTTCCTATGCTTATATAGGTGTACATTACCTCATCTGTAAGCTCTCTGCCCGAGTTAGACCTTGGTCTTTGGGGTCCAGCAGTCTCAGCACCACTAGGACTTGATGCCTGCTCATCATTTTCCTGCTCAACCGAAAGAATAGACAAAAAAAGTCAGATGTCAAATATTTGGAATGAAATCTGCACATTTATATTATCTAAAAATGGCAATTTTTAACTTCAAACCTGTGCAGTGACGACTTTATCTCCACTAGTGGCGCTAGCAAGGTCCAAGGAGTGCTGGACTTCTTTAGTAATGCATCGGACTGTGGCGTTCGGGCTGACCAATCCACACAGCTCTTCTGCTGGCTCTATAGAGACTGACCAATCAAAGAGGATGATTTTGTTTTAGTCGATATTTTTCACGTTACACAAAACAGAAATGTTTTTAGGCTTTAATGGAAATGTTCAACTTCCCACTTCTGAAGTTATCAGAGGTTTTTCAAATTCAAATGCCACATTCACTCTTGCCCATTTCTTGGAGTAATGTTAATTTAACACCATAATTCTGTTAGACTAACAGAAAGAAAAAAAAATGCAAAAGCAAATGCAAAATGTGCAAGTATCTAACACATAATAAAACATTGATATGTGGAATGCTAATATGCCTTTTGCAAATAATAATTGTATGTGACATTTACTTAATTGTACATTTTATTTCCTTAAATAATAACAACCTGGGACTTGTCTATAATATATATATCACCTATATAATAAAGAAATTATTTTTCAAATATTTCCCAAGTGCTGTTTAAAAACATTTTAAACCCATTTTTAAACATAATAATTTTAATAACTACCCTATATTATCTAATTCCTTTTTTGTGTCTATGTCATGATGACATAATATTTAACTGTTTACTATGCAATGTACTAGTATTTAGTTTAAAGTGAAATTATGCACTGCATTACAATAATTATGTTAACTAGGGAAGCTAAATTAATAAGGCAGGTCTCTGGACAACAGTGGTTTGCTCTGTAGCCAATAGAACAAAAAATATTATAATATACAATTTATTTACATTTTTTATTCCAGACAAACGAAAAGAAATGGAGACATTCTCCAGAACAACAAATATAAAAGTTGAATTGCTTTGTTAAACATCACTTGGAAAATATTTGGGGGCTAATAATTTTGCCTTTAACTGTATTCAAAGCATTTTGATTGCTTCTGTTGCCAGTCTTTATTTATATGAATCACCTGGTCTTCATTTTCTAACACTAAACAATCACATACTTCACTTTCAGTATAAAAACCCATTGTGTGCTGAATAAGACTAACAGGAAATGGTTATACTATGTATATGTAGTTAATTTGTTACTGACAACTGATTTAAGTTAAATCTGGAAATTCTTCTGGATTATTTTTGGTTGATGAAACATGCAGTGCGCATCAAATAATTTCCAGCATACATATGTACAACCCTCACAAATGATCTTTTACATTTCTATTTTTAATAGGAAGCTATAAAATATTAGATTTGTGCATATACATTAGATTGGTCAGTACTGAAGCCAAATCTGGAGCTTATCTAACAAAATAACTTATGATAACGGTCCAAAAACTTGTACACCCAAATGTATATGTTATAGAAATACAAAAATACAAATGTAAAAATTTGGAAAATCAAGAGAAGCAAAAACATTGAAAAACGTAGTTGAAATTTTGTAGGTTGTAATTTATTTTGCAATATTTTGCTTGAATTTAATTGCATTCTCTTTCAACTTCTAAATATGTTTGGTGACTAAAATATTATTATAATAAATATATCTGTTTAATGAATCTGTTTTGTTTAAATGCACCAAAATACATTGCCTATATTCACTGAGAAATGGATACAAATATTAATTTTTAAATATTTGTTGTGGTTAAAACATATCCTAAAATACACCAATTGGTCTCTTATCAATCATATTAAAATTTATGGCATGCCAACTCAAAAACCTTAAAACCATGTCAGCATTTCCCAGTCATAAACACGAGAAGGTTGTTCATGTTTAATTTCCAAAGACTGAGAAGCTTGTATTTTTCATAGTTCTGAAAAATCTAATTTGTCATGTGTAACAGACCTGTATTTTACATATTATGCTAGTGTTCTCCTCATGAATAAAACAAAGAAAAAAGTACCTTCAAGTCCTGTTGGTCGAATCGCTTCCTGGGACTTTTTGCTAGCTGAAAAGCTGGGTCGTGATGGGGGAGGCGGCCGAGGAGGAGGAGCCCCGGAGGGTGGAGGCGGCCTTGAGGGCGGTTGCTTCTTAGTGCTCGCTACAATGTCAGGCTCCACTGTAAACTGTCTGGGAGGTTTGGAAGGGCCGGGCCCATCGCCATCAGACGTAGAAACCTGCTCTAGAATATCAGCCGTCTCTGCACAGGGCAGGGAAACAGGTAGCGATGGCTGACCCAGAGCACTGGTAATGTCAGGAGGAGGTGGGATACCCTGGTCTTGACCCACTTGAGCAGAACCCGCCACATCCGGTGCTATATCATGAATGTCCTGTGGCCTCACTTCCCTCGGTCTTACATCGGGCACCTGCTCAGTGCAACCAGAGTCACGTGGAGTCACATCGGGATCCTCCGGAAGCACCACCACAAGAACCTCAGGAGCTGGGGTTTCTTCAACACTACAGTCCTCTGCTTCTGGCTTCTCCCCTTCAGAACTGGCTTCACAGGTGTCTTCTGTTCTCAACAACTCTTCCTCAACACCACTCTTCTGACTCTCCTCGATAATACTGTCAATGATCTGGAAAGAGGCACAGGGTTTAAAAGTAGGATGCTTTGTTTATACTGGGAGTCTATAATCTTACATTGTTTCAATACAATATCAATAATGATTCATATCTATGGAGGTTTCAAAGTCCGTGTTTATTGATCCAGATGAGTTTGACATCGAAATATCAAACACAAACACATGTCAGTTTACTGGCTCTAAATACTGTATAGTAGCTTGCTCTGATGCGCAGCATTTAAGGCTGCATGATAGTGGAAAAAAAACTAGCATCATGATATTTAGCATGATAATTTGAGATTTATATTGATATAAACACAATTTCACCAGATGACTTCAATAGCTCCATTTCCAAAGAGTTTATAATGTCAGATTGATTGGTGTCAGTATGTATGAGGTACATCTGCATAAAATGTAATAAACAATCTACAAGCATAGTTATAGAATTGAGCAAAGGATACAACTCAAACTAGAAAAGTAAAGTTCGTAGACAATATGGTGGCTTGAGAAAGCCTCGTCTGAAAGTTTGAAGTAGAATAAATGTTTAAATGATTGAAGACATTTTAAGACATTGGAGACAGTCATAACTGCATACAGGTTAGCATGTTTCTAGTATGGACTAACAGGTTTGTTGCTAGGCTCTTGCTAGGGCATTCTGAGTTGTCGCTAAAGAGTTGTTAAGTGGTTGCTAGGGTGTTCTGGATGGTTGCTAGGGTGTTCTGAGCGGTTGCTTAGGTGTTGCAAGGGAAATCTGAGTGGTTGTTAAGGCTTTGCTAGGTGGTTGCTAAGGTGTTTTGAGTGGTTGCTAAGCAGTTGCTAACATGCAGCTAGGCGGTTGCTAGTTTGTTCTGAGTTGTCGCTAAAGTATTGCTAAATGGTTACTAGGGTATTTCAGATAGTTGTTAAGGTGTTGCTAGGTGGTTCCTAAGGTGTTGCTAGGTAGACAAGTTGTTGCTATACAGTTGCAAGGGTGTTCTGAGTAGTTGCTAAAGTGTTGCTAGGGTGTTTTATGTGGTTGCTAAGATGTTTCTAGGTGGTTGCTAAGGCGTTAGTAGGCGGTTTTTCAGGGTGTTCTGGGTGGTTGCAAACGCGCTGCTAGGGTGTTGCAAGGTCGTTGCTAAGGTGTTGCGAGGGTGTTCTGAGTGGTTGCCAGGCGGTTGCTAAGGCATTGCTGGGTGGTTGCTAAGGTGTAGCTAAGATGTTTTAGGTCATTGCTAAGGTGTTCCAAGTTATTGCTAAGGCAAGTTATTAGCATGGTTCTAGTATGAATTAGCATGTCGCTAGCATGTTTTTAGCATAAACTAGCATGTTGTTAGCATGAATTTAGTATGAATTAGCATGTTGCTTGTATGTTAGTATGTTTTCAGCATGAATCGGTATGTTGTTACTTAGTATGTCCAATGTAAAGTCAATGGCAGTTTTTTATAATGGAAGTCTATGGGACAGTTACTAAGGTGCCATAAGTATTTGCTAGGGTATGGCTAGTAAGTTGAAAGATTATCAGTGATTGGCAGATTGGTAGTCTGAGTTAAATGAGCCCAAAGTTTGGGCCCCAAACTTAAGTCTGTATGATAGTCTGGCGCAAAGTTATGAGGTCACAAAGTTTGGTCCAATGTTAAGTCAATGAGCCTTTTCCAAATTTTTCAGGTCAGTTTTGGGAAAATCGTAAGTCGGATCAGTTGGAAAAGATATAGCAACTTAATTCAGTATAGTTTGGAGGTTTGGAGTAGGTTTGGTGGTTGTAGTATGAACAGTCTAGGAGGAGATGCATTCTTAAAATAATCAAAGAAGAGGATGAAGAAGAAGTTTGTGTAGTATAACAGTATGTTGCTTTTCTCAAGCCACCATGATAAACAGTGGTTTACAGTTTTCTGGACAGTCTAATCGTATTCAGTTATTGAATAATCAAATTTAAAATGGTACTGTATAGTCTTCATTGTATAAATAACTAAACAAAATTAATCGTTACTAAAGTCATAAATGTTACAAATTATTGTCTGAACATTTTTAAAACCTTCATACAGTCACAGGCCTCATGAACACATGAAAATAATAAACTTTCACTCTATTATGGTTAAGCTCTGCAGTGACTCCACAAATCTCATGTGTTGTGAACTGTAACGTCCTATAAACTGTAATCTAAACTCAGCATATCCTGCGATATGACAATTGTGGAGGCACACATTGTGATATTGATGCTGGAAAGATATTGTGCAGCCCTTACAAATTTAGATAGAAAGGTTTTCTCTGCTCTTTTACAAGTTTGACATCATTTATTTTACCATATTAACTGTCAATTATTATTTAGGAAGTTACATTTTAATATCTGCATTAAGTACTTTTCTTGCTGGGTTGTAAGTGACCTGTCGACAGACAGCTTTTTGGGCAGACATCCAACAGTAAATATATACTAGAGACCACATCATGCTTCTGCTATATGAAACAGAGAGTTTCATAAAAAGAGGGAGACTAGAAACGGGAAAAAAAAGGTGCAAGGCTTTATTATGATCAAACTCACCTGAAGAGAATCATCATGACGGGGTTCTGGTTGAGCTAATCCAGCAGCAACTTCCTGTACCACACTCTCTGTGGGACCCTACAGCCAATCAAATGCAGCAGTTGTAAACAAAAATCTGATTCTGATTTCTGAATCTGAATTACAAGCTCCTCAAGTCTGTCTATATATATATATATATATATATATATATGACTAAATAATTATTTATTATGAAATAATAATTACAAACAAAATGTATTATTCAAATGGATGATTTGTATTCGATGTAAACACTTTAAGAGTAACAAAAAGTTTAAATCATAATATTAGTGATTTCTAAAAGGTCATATGACTAAAGATTTGAATAATGGCTGCTAGAAAATATATTTTTCCATCACAGAAGTAAATGACATTTCAATTATATTTCCAAAAACATGATTTTTTTTGTTGCATATTGTAATAAAATGTAATAAAATACAACTTTTTACCCTGTACTTTCAGTCAAATAAATGTACTGTAGCTTTCTTTAACATAAAAGTTAACCTGAAATATCAACTGCAGGATATTATAAAAACATATTTTATAATAATAATAATAATAATAATAATTTTTTAACATTTTATTTAAACAGTTTTCTAATAAATAAAGTGTAAAAGGAGGCAAAATAATTTAGGGTCTGAATTAAGAACCATTTAAGATATTAAAAACCCAAACACAGGTACAGATTTTACAAAACATTTACTGAAAATACTTTAACGGCAGTTGACACCTGGTTTGTTGGAAAGAATCTGTTTTATTTACATGTATAAACAGAGATCTCAGAGTCTCAGACCCCTGGTTTAAACCTCAGATCATCTTTCCATCTTGCACTCATGTGACTAAAGACCTTCACTAAAAGGTTATAACCATCAGCCTACTTACGACTCAAACAGGCACCATAAACTTATAAACTTATAAACATTGTATGTTCTTTAAAGTGCCAAAGAATGGAGTGTGCTGATTTAATGTTAAATCATGCTCAGATATCTACATGGTAGGTATGCATCTTAGGAAAGTGTACAGAAACTTCTATATCGTAGCTTATCACAGGAATTTCTCCTATAATGAAAAGCTTGGTTTTGATCATATTTGGAACAGTTAATTAAGAGTTCATTAATAATCATAATGAGTTGTTATATACTGACATCATTTATAATATATGTGTTATATGGCAGCAGCTAACTATGGCGAGGGGGCAGACCGTAAGTAATTAAAATGCTATAACTGCTTAAAAAACAGTTAACTGTGCACAATTCACTGCTTGCGAGTTTGGTGGACAACAGGGAAGTACATCAGAACCAAGCTAGGAAAAAATGAAAGCTGGCATGTTCGTGAGGTAACGTTTTATCTCCTCCTTCAGCTGTTACAACAATAACATTGACGTTATTAAACGGTTCCAGAGCTGCGCTGACGGTTGGAGCCAATTGCAGCCTTTTCTGTTGAGCGCGTGATCAATCACAAGCTTGCTCAACAACGCTCAAAAAAGCAAGCGGAACAACATTTGCATTTATTTATTTGCTATAAAAGCTCATGTTGCTCTGTGCATGTACCTGACTTTTGTTTGATACGTTCAAAAAGAGAAAAATTAAAAGAACAGTTCATATATATCTGACTGCTTGTATTAAAGGACAAAATTGTATTACAAATAATATATAAATATTACGTATTGAACTGAAGGATTGCACTGGACGTATTAAATTGAAGCTAAGGCATAATAATCATATAACCAAACCGAACCGTGAAGCAAGTGTAGGTTCACACCCCTAGTAGATAAACTTAAAAATAGGGAAAACTAGTTACCATTATCGTAATCTCACCAGGAAACATTGTGGCCAATCAAACACAGCCTGGGTCATGCATATTAATGATCCTGTGTGGATCGTCAGAGTTTTAACATGGATTTTAAACTTGCATTATTTACATGAGACCGAGGAAACAATGGTGTGTGAGACTCACAGCATTTCATTTGCATGTAATAAACTCTTATTATTCAGTTTTACCTAGATAATTATATGTCACCTTTCTGTAACACATAGTTTAACTCATGTTATTATTATTTTAGCTACCGATAGTGTAATGCATTCAACTTCACCAAACCAGTCACACCTGCATACTAGTCCATCTACACAAACTCATTTTGACGTTTAGTAAATTCTAAGAAATTTCTCTTTAGGTCACATTTCCACTAAAAATATGTAAAGCACATGCATGTTCATGTTAAAAGTACAAAGAGAGAACTCTTACCCCAGGCTGAGGAAGTTCAAACTTTGCAGGTGACCTACAAGAAGAAAGAAAACAAAAAATGAAGAATGCAAGTCATCCGGACCAAGCTTCACACACTCATACAACATTTACAAACACATGAATTATCAAACAGAGCTCCATTTTGAGATACATGCTAACGATCTTGTTTGTAGCTTTGATTGGAGTTGTGTCTTTGAACACTTCATCACAGTGTGACTGAAATCTAGTTAGACTAATTAGTAAATGTCAACAAAGTGGTGTGTATGCAAAAACAGAGGGTGTGTGGGCTCTTTCAGCCACTCAGTTCACTTTTAAAGTGGTCTGAGGCTAATTAAAACTAGCTAGTGCAGCTCGTCTGACGCAGCATTCATGAACAGACAAGCCCCTTCATCACATTCATAACACACCCTTCAACCAGCACAAGCACAGCAACTGAACATTTTAATGCAATCACACTGAGGACATTGTCAAAACATTCCTGTGACACTGTCTGACATTGTTCACACACACACACACCTTTGACCCCAGTCATGCTGTGATAACAAGAACAGGAGGATTTTCCTACTATTGACAAAATGGAGACTTGGCGTTCACAAAAGACTAATTATTTTCGTAAACTTTAGTTCTGAAATCTTTGTTCACACTGAGAATCTGAGTCATTAGGTTTCTGAGTCATCTGGGCTCTTCTGAAAATAGTGATCATAATAGTGACTAAAACACTGCCTGTCAATCTAGCCTCAGTGCAGATGCATCATTTGCAAAGTGTCATTTTGTTTAATTTATTTTGTACAAGCTGGGCATTTTATAAAGAGACAGTTCCCTTACATTATGCCATATGTTTTGGACAAGTACCAAACTTAAAACATATTGGAGTAATAGAATACAAACTATACATAAAATTGTTAATGTTAACCTTCTACCTGATCCAATATATGTGCTACTGAGGGATGAATCAATTCTTCAGCTTGATCAAAGGAAGAATCTACATTTGATTAAAATGGCTCTGATAGCAGCATAAGAAATGCATTGCTTTACGATTGCTTTACGATCGAAATCAGTGGAACCACCAAGTCATATTGTGTGACTTAGAGAACTTTTGTCTTATGTTCCTGTTGAAAAAATAATGTTAAATATTTTTTTAAAAATAAATTTTTGAAAAGATGTAGGGCACATTTATTGAATACATGAATAACATGGATGCTACGTTGACTGAAAATAATGATGAAAAAGTACAACTCTTCCTTTCTTTAATCTTTTTTTTAATCATCTTTGTTTACTTCCTCTTAATTTACAAATCAGCTCCATGTTTCAGAGTTATGTCTATTTAAGTGTTCTGTCTTGTGAGGGTGGGACTGGGGGGGGGGGGGGTTAGAAAAGAATGTTTACATGTATACTGAAATGATTCTGTAGGTTGTTGATGTGAAAATAATAATTATATTGATTTAAAAAGGAGAGACATGCTAATTGCCATTATGTAGACTACTGTTCTCGTGCTGTTGTTCCAAACCTGCACGACTTTGTTTCCTCTAAGAAACACAATAGTAAAGGTTCTGCAAGGTAAACTATGTATTTTAAACCATTGCATCTGTTTGTTTCAGTTGACAGCAGCGAGACAGCATAACGGAAACATCATCTGAACGCTACGTGTCAGCGAGATTGTGGCTGATTCAAAACAACTCAGCTGACTCGAACGTCCAAATAAATGATGTCTAGATAGCCAGCTCGCTCGCGTAAAAGTCATATGACTTTTTAATTATGCACATATAGACAGTGGATAACTGGAATCAATAAACAAGCGATATCAACACTGTTGACAGCTTTGACAGCTGCAGCTCCATTCACATAACAAACATTAGATATCAAACTGGGGGGATAAAGGCAATATTTATTTTGAACATGACACTCACGCGTGGGGCGAGGGAGTGAAGTTGACATCCTCCGCCGCATCGTAAAACTCCTCCGTGTCGCTGGTGTCGGACGCCATTGAGCCCGGGCTGCATACAGAGGCCGCCGCCACTGCTACTCTCTGGACGAAGCAGACTAAACGCTCGGGTCCCGTGAAGCAGGAAAACAGCAAACAAACGCCAGACACGGAACTGAATTTGCGTCTGGCCCGCGTCTATGGCATGAGTGCTGGAAGAGGCTCCGCTCACCTGAAAGTGCGATAGCCCCAGCAAACACACGGCCTAGATTACAAAATCTCAGACGGCGGGCTTGACTTTTATCTTTTTAAATGCAAAATCAGCCGGTTACGTCGCTCTGATCAGGGGGCAATGCGATGTGAAGCTCCGCCCGAGGCCGTTCGCGCGGACTGTCAGTGTTCCTGGCATATCGGGACGAACCCCTACCGGGATTTATGATGGAAAACAAACCGAGAGTAGGAAGAGAAACGGCGACAGGTCTTCTCGCGTCGAGCGAAATCTCGCAAGAACATCTCGCGGGATTTGAAGACGTTCCATTTCACACAGCTGATCTGTAGACTGTGTTGTGCAGCATAATAATACCATAATACATAGACTGATGCTGCTCAAATGGATCTTTGATCGGAGACAGACAGACAGACAGACAGACAGACAGACAGACAGAGACAGACAGTTAGATAGACAGACAGACAGATAGATAGATAGATAGACAGACAGACAGACAGACAGACAGACAGTTGGATAGATAGACAGACAGACAGACAGACAGTTAGATAGATAGACAGACAGATAGATAGATAGACAGACAGACAGACAGACAGACAGACAGACAGACAGACAGACAGACAGACAGATAGACAGACAGACAGTTAGATAGACAGACAGACAGACAGATAGATAGATAGATAGATAGATAGACAGACAGACAGACAGACAGACAGACAGACAGACAGACAGACAGTTAGATAGACAGACAGACAGACAGACAGACAGACAAACAGACAGACAGTTAGATAGATAGATAGATAGATAGATAGATAGATAGATAGATAGATAGATAGATAGATAGATAGATAGATGATGATGATGATAGATAGATAGATAGATAGATAGATAGATAGATAGATAGATAGATAGATAGATAGATAGATAGATAGATAGATAGATAGATAGATAGATAGATAGATAGATAGATAGATAGATAGATAGATAGATAGATAGATAGATAGATAGATAGATAGATAGATAGATAGATAGATAGATAGATAGATAGATAGATAGATAGATAGATAGATAGATAGATAGATAGATAGATAGATAGATAGATAGATAGATAGATAGATAGATAGATAGATAGATAGATAGATAGATAGATAGATAGATAGATAGATAGATAGATAGATAGATAGATAGATAGATAGATAGATAGATAGATAGATAGATAGATAGATAGATAGATAGATAGATAGATAGATAGATAGATAGATAGATAGATAGATAGATAGATAGATAGATAGATCGCTGGTTCAAGCCCTGGCTTGGTCAGTTGGTGTTTCTGTTTGAGTTTGCATGTTCTCCCCAGTGTTGGCTTGGGTTTTTGGACATGAGTTATAGGTGAATTGGGAAAGCTAAATTGTCCCTAGTGTGTGTGTGTGTGTGTGTGTGTGTGTATGTGTGTTTGAATGAGTGTGTATGAAAGTTTCCTAGTGATAGGTTACAGCTGGAAGGGCATTCGCTGAGTAAAACATAATCAGGGGTCGCCACAGCTGAATGAACTGCCAACTTATCTAGCATATGTTTTCCTCAGCGGCTGCCCTTCCAGCCGCAACCCACCCACACTAGGGCCAATTAAGTTTATTTAATTTACTTATACCACATGTCTTTGGACTTTGGCGGCAACCGGAGCACCCAGAAGAAACCAGAGGGAAATCATGGAGAACATGCAAACTCCACACAGAAATGTTAAAATTTTATTAATTTATTTTTATTATTACTACTACTACTACTATTTAATGTGTAACTATGCTTACATTAGGCATGGGCCGGTATAAGATTCTGACAGTAGGATAAGCTTGGATAAAAATATCACAGTTTCAAGGTATTGTGATTACTGCTCTAAAATAAAACTTATTCCTTTTAATTGTCTAGGGGAAAATAACATTTACTGAGATACTGTGGTCCTAAAAAACAAAACAAAACAAAAAGAGAGACAGCGAGAGAAACAAGAAATGTCACAAGAAATGCAAAGAAAAATTTAAGAAGTTTAAATGTATACTTTTATTATAATATATACTAACTATACTATTTGGCACATTCACATTTGCTATACATTTACCTAGTGACCATATCTTGATTTGATAATACCAGACTATACTTTCTTATTAAAGCATATTAGTAAACAATACAGTGCTGTCATGCCGAAGACCTTCTTGTGCACATACATTTCTATATCACCGTCCAATTGCATCTCACCTATAGTAGAAACAACCAATCCCTGCGCGCATCCATGCGCCATGAACTTCTTTTGGTAACGGAAGTTTTTAGTGTCAAGAATTGATTGACACGAACCTGGACCAATCAGAAAGGCGTACGTCACAGATTCCCTTAAGACCACAGCCAAAGAAAAACAAGGGAGGAGGGGCTTTGTGAGGTCCATGAGTAGAGTGGATTTGGGGGTTTAAGAAGAAAACAAGGGTAAATTCCAGAGGTTGTGGTAAGTCGAAATCCCTTTAAAAGTTTATTCGTTCAGTATTCCTTTCGGCGAGCTGACATATCCGTGGCGCACACGTAAAGATACACATGTTTCAATACGAAAAGTAGCTTGTTGTCAGCTGAGGCTAAATGTAGCAAAGCTGCGAATGGGGAGCCATGCTTTAGGTTTGGTCCTTTCTTCAAAAGAGCCGAGCTGAGCTTTCAAGAACGGACAAAACCGGGAGCAGGGCTACAGTCAGGGCTCCGGCTGTGCCGCTACAGCGGTGTCAGGGCGGGCGTAGGGCTCGTTCAGCGCGCGGTCAGTGTTAGTTCCTACACAAACACCAGCAGACAGACAGACATGTCGACTAGACTCTCTTCCACAAACCCAAACTCTGTGTCTGAACTAAAAACGGTCAGTACAAGTGCTGCTAACAGAAATATGTAAAGCTTCTGTTCATTTAAAGTCACTGCTGTTTTCTAGTCGCTGTTTTGTGTGTGTAAGTTACTCCCACTTCTTTTAGAGACTGGGGTGTTTTTCTTTTGTTTGGCTTTAGTTGTATTACATTTCAGATTTCTTTGTCATGCTGTTATGTGTACACTTGGTAAAATGGAATTTAAAGGATGTATAAAAAGGTAAATGTGCTCAAATAATATATATTTTGGTTTCTGCATCAGACTGAAGTTAAACAAGAACAATAATAGATGAGAGCTCTTGCTTTAGTGTTGCCTGTGTGATCATTATCAGGCAGTTTTTGGTCATTTCTGAACTTATTTTAGCATACTCTTTTGCTCCGGCTGTCAGAGTGTGACAAAAGTTGAGCTCAATTATTAAGAGCGTGATTCAGAGCAGCTGGGGGGCTCTAAGGGCCACCATGTGCTCATATGCCATGACAACAGTAACATAACACTAATGGCTAAAAACAAGCTCTTCTGCCAGGGGCCTCTGGCTAAAGCCTTATTTTAGCGTATGTCCTGTGTTGTGTATTGTCCAGGCAGTGTCATTTGTTGGGCTTTTTTATTTTTTGCTGAAAGCAAGCACATGGTTTGATATGACTGTAGGCAATTGAGTATTTTTTTTTTATTCGAAAGCTGTTCAATGGATTATATTGTTTGTATTTGCCTCAGACACCAACATATATAGCCAGTAACAGGACTATGAATACTCATTTATGGGTCCTGTGACTTCAGTTCCACTCTTCTTAATGGGGGACGTGCTTTTTTCCAGGATAGAAATAAACTAAAAATTCCCATCATGCAATTCCTTGTATTTTTCTTAAATTTATCTTCCTTAATCCTTTGACTGCCGCTATACCAAATAGCTGACCATGTTTTTACTGTTTTAAATATTAAAGCAATTTACAGAATGACGGTTTTAAATAATGGCGTACACACACAGCATTGTTGGTGTAAGAAAAAATCTAACAACCATAATCCTGTTGCAATACTACAATTGATTTTGGTTTTATTGTAAAGAAACACACACACACACACACACACACAAAAAAACAAGACAACATGTTAAATGAAAAATTTTACGCCATAATAAAAAAAGGAGATTTAGTACACAAATGTTTTATTTTGATTCTGTTTTAAATAAATTTAAATCAGAATTTTCATAGTATATGTGTTAATAATAGTACTTTTACTATTAACTGACATATCTACTATTTGGCAGAGGCTGATATTTTAGAAGTTACAGGATGTTTTAAAAAAACTGCATTAAGTGTGTAAACACTAGCGACATTAGGGGTTAAGAAATGAAATCCAAAAACTTTTTTCTAGGTGGGGTTGTTAAAAGGGAAATACTAAGTCACACTGCTTTAAAAATGCAGTTTTTACAAATTTTCACAGAAAATAGTATTTTAAATAAGTCTGTGGTAGGGCTGTGCTATTAATCGAATCACAATCGCAATTTAAGACATTGCCATTAGTTAATCGCTAGAGGCTGCAATATAAAATATACATGTATCTATGTAAACAAAATTTACGAATAACATCTGAGGTGAAGTGCTTTGAAACCAGTGCTTCAATGCTATAACTACGCTTCAGAAAAGTAAATGTGCCAGAGATGTCCAAACTCTGTCCTGGTGGGCCGGTGTCCAACTGAGTTAAGCTCCAACTTGCTTTAACACAACTGCCAGAAAGTTTCTAGTATGTCTAGTAAAAGCTTGATTAGCTGCTTCAGGTGTGTTTGATTAGGGTTGGAGCTAAACTCTCAAGGATACTGGCCCTTCAGGACCGAGTCTGGGCACCCCTGTGCTAGACTTTCTGCGATGGTGTCGCGAGGCATCACAGACATGATATTGGTTGTTGTGAACTATGCATTACACGAGAAGAAACGATTGAATCTTGTGTCACAACAAGTAAA